TGAAAGTAACAACCGAACAAGACAAACAAACAAAGAAACAAAAACTCACAGGCACAGACAACAGTTTAGTGGTTATCAGAGGGTAAGGGGGGGGGGAGGATGGTAGAAGAGGGTAAAAGGGGTCAAATAAAAAAAAAATTGAACTGCAATTACTGTGTATGGTAATCTGAGTAAGTTAAAGTATCTTTCCTACCCAGTTTCCTTCTCTGTGAAATGAAGATATCACCCATCTTCACTGTTTTGGGGAGAATGAAATAAAGACAAATAAAAGAGATGAATACACAGCAGGAAATTAATAAAGTCATTATTTTCCTTTGTAATCTGTTTTTCCATCCTCTTTTGTAATTGCTCACCTGTAAGCTTAACTAAGGGTATGTTTTGTAAAATTTCCTAATTACCTGTATATTGCAGCTCAGCTTTTGTAAGAGAAGTGAATAATTAAAGTGAAAAAAAAAGAAAGAAAAAAGAAACTGTATAATTCCAAATTTCCACATTTTCCTTTACTTTCATCTCTGTTGGTGGAAACCGTCAGTCCTATAACTTATGGCTGAAAATGATTACAAACAATAATTTGGAAAAATGTAGTAACAAGGAGTAACTTGAGGTAATAGAAAACTATAATTTTAAAATAAAGTTGAACTCTTCCAAAACTAGAGAACATTGCTAAGGGCAATACACAAACGGCTTTTTGAAAAAATAATAATAATAAAAAAGAAAAAACCCAGTACTAAAACCACTTGAAAAAGCCAACATTGCAATTTAGTCTTTTAGACGACTTTCTAACATCAACATATTAAGTAGTCAAATGGCATTTATTCTGGAGATCAAAATGCTTCCAGAATCACATTTTATTTGTAAGAATGCCTGTGAAAAGCACTTTTATAAAAATAGATCTAATTCTGTGTACTGAAAAGAAGCCCACCAAATTTGGATTATATGGTCATGAAAGGCCCATTTAACACTATCTGCCAATTACTACATATAAAAAGTAATTAAGAAGGTTTATATTATAAAAGCCTCCTTCAGCTCTCTGTGGTTTGGTCCTTCTAATCTTAAAGCTGGGGAAAAACTCTGGAAAACATTAGCACTTATTTTAGGAAACAGAATAGTTAGACTTCTATTTAGAAGAAAATTTATAAATAATTATTTGATGTCATATGTGTATTAAAATTCACCATAAAAAACTGAGAGTAGGCAAGCTGTGATTAACAAATATCTGGCCAATGATCTGTATAATCTGAGACAAACCCCTTAACTTTTGTGCCTCAGTTTCCTCCTGTGTCAAGTGTGAATAATGTCACTACATATTTCACAGAGCTGTGGTGAGGTCTAGATGGTGAATGCTTAGAACCGAGGTTGGCACCATACACACTATGTAAGAGTTGAGCAGTCATTATTAGTGCAGTTGTAGCAGCATCGAACTTACGGGGCACTGTCACACCATAGTGTTGTGTGTCACTGATCAGCAGCTTCCGTTTCAGTTCATTCAAACCTACTCCTACAGGACCTGAAAAACAGGATAATATAACTTC